ATTCTCGTCCATGAAAAGGAACTGCAGACCCATAGCACCTCTAAAAAGACGCACATATGGAAGAAGAATCTCGTTACAATAACGGGTCCCGTTGACTGAACCTGCGTCGAAGATGTGAAGGTCTGTACGACTACCAAACATGATGCCTCCCCAAACGAGAACACCGCGACCTCCATACCTGTCCCTTTCAATGATGTTCGAGTGATGATTGCGGCTTCCCCGCTCTCTCCAGATGAGTATGCGATGAGAATCGCTACTCAAACTGAATCTGCTCTCATCTGTAAAGAGTACTCGTCCCCATTCATTGTCTCTCAATTCCGGTGTTCCCGGCACCACAGAGAACGCCTTCTCCGATGGGCAGGCGTTAAAGGTACACACCGTACAGGGCGTCGTGCAAACAGACCACCACCGTGCAGTCTTGTGGCCACGGTAAAACGTGATATCGGTCGTCCAGTCACCTGTGTCGTGTGTCTAGCGATTTCTCCCTCTGTCTGCCGCCTGTTTCTTCTGGCCTGTAAGACAATGTACCGGTCATCTTTGGGGGTGGTTCCTCGTGGACGACCACTACTGAACCCCCGGATAGCTGTTCCTGTAGTTTGAAATTGTCTCCAAAGTCGTGAAACGATGCTGTGAGCAATTCCGAACTCTGCAGCCACACTTGTTACACTGCGGCCTTCCTCCAACTTCCCAATGATTCGACCTCGGGTAAAAGCATCCAGATGTCGTCTAACAGATTGATTATTCGCCATTTCTCGCTGAGGCAGCAACTCGGTGTGATTTTAACTGCTATACGGCGTGCAATCTCTTTGCCAGAAATACTGATCTTACACCGACAACATGTTTTATACTACTCAGACACTCCCCCATTACGTCTACCTGCATATCTGCGCATGTGCTACCGTACATCACCTTACTTAATCTCCTGATTGGTCTTTCTGTCCGCTCTGCCTCTTCGTTCAGTTGATATGCTAATTCTTCGACTTCGTCCTTAATTTTTTTGCACACCAGTGTATATATATATATATATATATATATATATATATATATATATATATATATATTCAAATTTAATATATTTTTCATAAATACTTTTATATTGAAATGCAATAACCGAGATTTTTACACCTATTGAAAATGTGTATTGATATGAATATTTCTCCTCTAAATACACAGTTACGAACCCTTCGAGTCATCGATTAATTTAAGGATCCATTTTTAAAATGAATCTTTTATTTTACCTTCCATTAAAAAGGAAACAGAAGACGATTTTTCTGAAGTTCCTAAAGTTTTATCTCAAAATGCAAACGAGAAAATGAATTACAAAATTGTTTCCATAAAGTGCGAACGACCTTCTGTATTTGATAGTAAAAATGACAATGCCACTCTCATTTCGTCATTTATATTTAAAAAGTCTCGATCTATTATTCATTTTTATATTTGTTAATGCTGAAAATCCGAATTCACGTAAATATGATTTAGAAAATTGTAACAATATTTTTGAGGCTTTTTTTGGCTGTTATGAAATAATCACCTCTAAATTTAATTTAAAATGAATTAACTGACCCTTCCGAATGTTTTGCAATTAAATCTCGATTAATATAAAGCGAAACTAGTTTTTCCTCTTCATTTAAAGCTAATTCATATAAAAATATATCTGTTATCACAAAGGGAGATTAAGAACCCAATCAAATTTTTTTATATCCATCTATCCACGAAAGGATAAGTTAAATATATCATATACCCTTATTTTATTTTTATAAAACGACCGAATGATTCGGTTCCGGTTTTTATGTTATTCTCAAAATATAAATAAATAAAAAAAATGGCGGCACACGAAAGTGGCGCCAAAACAGTGGTTGAGAATCACTGATCTATAGAATCTTGTATTGAGAGCTTCGTTATAGCGGTGGTGCGTTCGCTGTAATTTAAACAGTTTTTTTTCGTCCTCCAAATTTTTCCGCCCCCAAATCTTTGGCGCCGAATCGTTTGCCTAGTGTGTCTAAGGCTAAAAGCGGCACTGTTTCTAACCACGCCTTTCTCTTCCCGCACCATCGAATCAAAATCCAATTTATTTTTTTCCCTTTCTACCGGTTTATCGTGCGCTGTAATTTTCCGACTGTAGCCTTTTCTTAAATGTGACACTGAAGAAGCTATTAAATGTGCATTATATGTTTTCTTGTATTTATATTTAGAAGAGTGGTTCTCTCTCTCTCTCTCTCTCATACCTTTTCACCTCATAGAAACCTTAGAGCAGTGATTCCCAAAGTGGTCTAGGACAACCTGCAAGGGGTCCGCACCAGCAAAAAAGTAACTTGGGGGTCGATGAGGTGTAAATGGGGGTCTATGTGATAGTGGCTCTCATTAAACCAGATTATGTCTATAACCATTAAAAAAAATTGTGATCTAGTGGAAACCAGATATTACCAATTTAACATTTACTAAATTTAGTGAGGTTAATTTGTGGTTATTAGGTGACAGCAGTAGCGCACACAGGAAATTTTCAAGGTTTGGGGGCGGGGTCGAAAGCTCACCATTCTTGTATCATGCTTCTTTTGATTTTGTCGATTTTCGGAAACAAAACACAGTAAAAGCTAATTATTGAATAAATAATTAGCATTAATATAATTTATCATTAATAAAAAAATAGTTAAATTTTACGCACTATATACTTAGAATTATAATCAATCGGAAAAAAATCAAGGGCTTTGGGGGGGTCTGGACCCCAGGACCCCCCCTTGTGTGCGCCACTGGGTGACAGCATAAGTCTTATTAAGACAAGGAACGCTTCAGCATTTCTTTCCAAAATTAAGCTGAAAAATTATAATATTGAACGTCGCAAATTTTTTTCAATTTGTCGCAGACAGTATCAGGACGTTTTAATCTACGTTCAGCATATAAATCCCTTACTCAGACTTTGAAACTAGTTTTGAGAAAGTTTAGAAACGGATAGCATCAATTTTGGGCTTAAAAAAATATACCTAATAATTGTCGTAAATTATGGAACATCGTGAGAAAAAGTTTTTAATTGCTTTTCCTAGTGAGAGGGAGTTTCACTGAGTTTGCCAATCTCAAAAACAAAAAAAAAAAGGGAAAGAAATAAAAAAACTGGGCACACTTACTAACAAATGAATTTAGAAATAAACGACTAGAAAAAATGTTAAAAGTTTGTTATTGATACTAACAAAAAGCATTTGTTTGTAGATTTATTTTAAATAAACGACTAGATTGATTTTATTAAATACAGTTGAAATTTAATTCTTTTAAAGTAGTAACACCATCTGTCAAAAGACATTTTAGGTATCCGACTACGTTCGGAACCGTGATTTTAAAAAAGGCGCATAAATGGATAATTTTCATGATATTTAGCGTCACTTAGATTGAATACATGCATAATAAGAATTTTGACAAAATTTTTTATTTAAATACAACTAAAAATGATTTTTTTTTCACAAATTCACGTTTTTCATTTTTTGTACAGAAGTTACTTTAACAAATTCACATTTTTTCAGACCAATTGAAATAATTATCGGCGTTTCATAAAATTGCTCTCCTCTGTTGTCGTAAAATATGGATAAACCCACTTCTAAATTATATATTTCAAAAATTATAGTTGAGCCTCTGTACAGAGGTCTGAGCTATATATACAGGCAAAATATTATTATAATAGGATCATTTTTCACAAAAGGAGAATATTTTGAAAATGGGTCATTCTATGTTCATTTTTTGCCAAAATATTGTACTTAAATAATTTTTTATTGTTATAATATTCTTAAAACAATTTTATATACATTTTTTAATCTAAATGACACTAAATATCATTAATATTATCTATTTATACGCTTTTGTAAAATCACGGTTCCGAACGTTGTCGGATACCTTAAGTTGATAAATTTGCAAAAAATTAATACTAGATAAGCAAGGGTCTACCTGAAACCAATAAAGAATGGCAAGGGGTTTGTGAGACAAAAAAGTTTGGGAACCTCTGCCCTAGAACTTGAAGGAGCTTTCGTGGAACCAATACAGCTGGAAAATGAATCTCCATTCCATACGCATACTACGAAGAATATATCTCAAAATAGAGATCAACACGTTATGGGAAATTTATGTAAAGGCATTTAAAAAAATATTACATTTATTACTAAAAAATTATAATCTAATTTTTTAATATAATTTTACTCATCAATATTATTAATTTGTGATCCAAATGTCACTTGTCCATGCATTATTTAATAACTTTGATACATGCGTACTTTTTATTCTCCCAAACTGTCGAAGTCTAGGTCTATTGAGATTAAATATAATCGCATTATTTTTCAGAGTTTAATTTGCTTTATAGTTTGTTTTTGTAGCCACTCACGTTAAGAAATATGTTTCACTTAAACAAAATGCTCTGAATGGCATTAAAATGTTTATATCGGTATGAGAGAACCCGTGTATTTCGTATGAATTTTCAACCTAAAATTTAGATGCTGTTCTTGCTAAATTTAGATTATAACTTCAAATCTGTTGATATGTTGATATAAGTTGTTTCTTCTCGTTCATTATATGTGTTTTTACCACAAATACAAAAAGGTGAATTTTCCATTAGAAAACTATTTAGTTTTGCAAGGCATTTTGTTAACTAACGAGTAGAAATTATCTCTTGGAACTCGAGATAGTTTAAAATAGAATATTCTTAATCTGGTAGGAAGTATATATGTACATAAAGATAAAGTGTTTTATTATTAATTTATTATATTATAATAAAAGTTTAAAAAGTGCTGCATAATAAAGCAATTATATATAAATAAAATTTTCAGAGTGAGTGAAATATTAACGTCACACTGTTCAGCTACACGAGGGCTTTTGGCAACGAACTACGTAATTTTGAACCATGGTCAAGTGATGTGGACGACACCTGGGCTGGCATCCTCTCTCTGAACTACCAGACCACATCAACTGGTGGACGTTTGAGCTCTCGACAGATTTAACGTGTGCAGCGCGTCCCTACACGGTGGGTCTTTAGTGGTACTGGGCTTGAACTCGAGACAAGACCATCCAAGGATCCAGTACCTTGACCACTCGGCTACCACAGGCGCAATGAAATTTTCAGTTTTAATGAGTAAGACGAGTTATAGATACTTGTAGCTGTATAAACCTGATTGAGAACATGAATCCATTTAGAATACATATGTATTTTTTCTCGAGTTTTTTATTGGGACTTGGGGAACCCCTGGGTATGCCTCATTGAACCCCAGGGTTCCGCGAAACATAGTTTGGGAACCACTGATTTAGAAGTTGCCGTTCCCTCATCGAAATTAAAGTATAAAAAGTTCTAAAATACCTGTTTTTTTAAGCAAAACTTACCTTGATTTTTTTACCATAAAAAAAGCTTTATTCCCTTTGTTGCAGTACTTAACATAAAAATTAATTTTTATATTATTTTCCCCTTCATCTATATATCAGGAAACATCTTTTCTGAATACGTATGGTTTGAAATGCTGAAAAAAGTTCTTCGATCCACCCTAATACATACTTACAAAAATAAGCAGCATTTTAAAAGGGTTATTATATAATAATGTTAATATTTTAAGAAAATAGTATAATCCAATTTCATGCTTTTAATTACTAAATTTATAGGTATTTAAATAAAACAATAGATTTATAAATATAATGATTTTTCAGTATTTAATTTTGCTCGAAAAAGATGTATTACAAATTTACCATCATGCTGTTCTGTTTGAAATATTTTGTACGATTAAATGTAGATTATATATGTACCAGGGCACCGAAGAGAGAGAGAGAGAGAAACGTAATTTGTTTCGTCCCCCGATTAAACTAAATATATATATATATATATATATATATATATATATATATATATATATATATATATATATATTATATCGGTTTTCGTTCGGACAAAAATAATGGTTTTCAGTTCAGTTCCGAATGAATAATTTTATATCTTATGTATATTCTTATCTTATAAATCCTCTATATTTCTAGTTCATTCAACTGAATTAAATCAACCTTCTACAAGTAGTTTCGAACGAAACTGAAACAGAAAAGTAAAAGTGAATATCAAAACAGGAAACCGAGAGAAGCAATATAAATGTAATGATAATTATATGGTAGACGTTAAATTAGAAAACATAGATAAGTTGGTTACAGTAACAAAATGACTGAAGATATATCGAACCGGAATAAACCGATATTTCTTTCGGCTCAGTTTCGGTTTTTCGTTCCGACCAAAATAACGGTTTTTTCCAGTTGTCGGTTCAGTTCCAATTCGAAAGCCTGTTTACACAGCTGAGTCACTTTTTCAGAGCACTCAAATTCATTTTCATTTAATATTTTTAATTTCGTGTTTATTTTTCTTACGATAATAAAGATTTTGTTTAATTACAAAAAAAAAAAAACTAGCTGTCTCGTTTTGTGTAATCTTTTAGAGAATATTTGTTAGGGAGCTTTTTTGTTCCATGTAATTCTTGTTTATATATTCGTAATTAATATTCATACAAAAAGGCTAATATTGTTTAGAAACTGTTATTAGATATGAAAAATTGTCTAAAAATTGTCCTTTTTTACATTTTCTGACATTTTCCAAGACTGAATGGTTCATTCATGAAAAATTTTCTGGCTACCATTCTCGTTAGTGTGGTGTGGAAGTTCGGAGGGGTGGGGTATCAGATGTCGTTCTCGTCAATTGACCATGGTATTAAATTACTAGGTCCGTCGCTATTAGCCCACGCGTTGCTTTCTAGTGAGAGATTAAAGCACACTCACTTTTGTTACCATAGTAATATTCCGCGGTAGCCAAATGGTCATGGTCACGAACTCGTGGCCAGCGATGTCAAGTCGCAGGCTCGAAACCTAATGTCACTGAAGACCTGCAGTGTACAGGTGCTGCCAACTTCTCATGTCAGCAATTGAATTGTAGAGTTTCTTTCTTCCTTGTTGAATCTAGTAATACATTCAAGTGTTTATTTCTTCTTATTGATGTAAAAAAGAAACCAAGATTTTTTTACTTTGTTGATATTTTTGTCTTATTGTATCACGACAGTAATGTATTTTCTATACCTAACTACTAGTAGTTACTAAGTATTAGTACTACCACAGGTCCAAGGCTCCAACCCCGGGCTGGGCAAGGTCGACTCAGCCTTTCACCCCTTTAGAGGGTCGATAAACGAATAACAAACTTGCTTGGGAACTACACACTGGGGGTTTCGCGTCAGACTGACCACCTGACCGGTACATCTACCAATGCCTTTCAGTGTTTAAGGTCATGAAAACTGAGATCAGCACTGTAGGCCTTGGCCCTCATGGGCTGTTGCGCCTCTGGGTTTTTTTTTTAACTACTAGCAGAGCTACAAATTTTGAAAACGTGTTTAGAATATTATTCTTGGGGAAGATAAATATAAATAAAATCCTCTCCCCAACTCTTAATTCTTCCCAAATCACTTAGAATTTATTTTTACATGAAATTTTTAGAATAATGTCAGGAGCTAAAATTTATGCAAACTTAATTCCAAAAAAATGTAACCTGTCCCTTTAAGATCCAGCCCACATAATTTTGCGGGTTTGACATTCTTATCCCTTTAAGGCCCGAAATATTTTTATGTTTAAATGTTACATTCTTCTGGTTATTAACGCCCCCCTCTGGAAGGTAAAGTGTAACAGCGCGAACGTGCGGGCCGGGTTTCAAAAAGGGCTATAGTGTTCTATCGTAACATATCTATTCGATAAAAGTAAAATTATACCGTACAGTTACTTTAATTTAACAGAACAAAGCAGTGCAAGCAGTTAAATTCTACTATAAAATAAAAAAAAAAATTATACGTAATCATATAAGCTATTAAAATAATAAAATCGTTATATTTATTACTTTTGTATATTACATTTGGAAACTGTCTGAATACAGATACTTTGTTTTGTTGTCATTATCATCTATATTTTCTTCTTAAAAGTAAATTGTAAGGGTCGCCCCGCGACGTCCATTAGAGTGGGAGAGTCAGAAAGAAGATTTTAGCCGTATTCAAAATATAACCAATTTATTCTCAATTATGAACAATAACACAAATTCTATTAATCAAGTTAAGAGATGCACTTAAATACCAAATATGGAAAGAAATAGCGAAGCATACGAACTACGAGAAGACTTTAAATAATCAGATCACTTACGTTTAGGCAATATCTTTTAATTCTTAGCGACCCAGTCTAATTTGATTCCTAATTGACAAATCGTCAACTTTAATATTACAATAATCACCTACGAAAAATCCACGCCTTCTCTTCACGTATAATCAATTACTGCTAGCCGTTAGCAGTCTAACCACTCTCTTTTTCTAATCTGAAAGTTTCATCTGTATATACAAGTCTTAATTTGCATAGCCACATATTCTTCTTCGGGGGGAAGATTTATAATATAATAATTTTTAACGACCCAATAATTCCCAAGAGGATTAGCATTTGAAAGAACGCGGATAGACCTGTCACAAATGAAATTTTCTGATTTAACTTTTCAGTGCTTTAAATCGTTTTATTCTTCCTTTTAAAATTGTTTCGATGGGAAAAAAAACTCAATAGCTTTTAGTTCTTTTCAGCATCCATCAATAGAAATGAATTAGAACAGGGGTACTCCATCTTTTTTTCTGATGGACTGCATACATATGTCAGCTATTTCACGCGGGCCGCATCATGAGGATAAAGAAGGGAATGTGGAAAATTATGTGTTAAAATGTGGAAAATTCATCAAAATATTTCAACTCCTGGTTTGTTTGTTTTTAACAACTATTTTTTATTTTGTCACTAACACTGAATTAGAAGAATTTAATAAACACTCCTTCACAATATCTCCATCAGTAAACGGTTTCATATGATTACCAATAATATAATAAACTTCATAAGATGTCCTTGTTACCGCTTTGATATTACCACTGACAAAACACTTTGTTGCTTTTGCAAAGATTATTCAAGAAAGCCTATTTATTACCTCTTGAAAGAGATCTTCGAGGAAAAGTGTCATTGAACGATTCCTGTTTATTGTTGTTTTTTTTAATTACAGCACTTTCGTGACAAATCAAACAATTACTGATCCGTATTTGTCTTTCACCACAAAATAGTCAACCTCCCAATCATATTGAAATGATATATTTTCTTCGAATATTTTTCGAATATGCAATTTCTTCGAATATGCAAGATACGAAAGATAGTTAAAAATGAATTCCGCCCATATATAAAACTTCCACTACTCCACTGTTGTCTGTTATTACAAACCGTAGCCGTTACAAATAGAAAAAGAATATCAATTCGCACTCGTACAGCATCAACAGCAAAAAGAAAAATTGGTATGGTTAATTTCTTGACACCAAATTCTTAATATATTGTTCTTAAATAAGTGAATTTTTCAGAGCAATGGGCACTGACCGGGCCACTTAAAAAGGCACCGTGGGTCGCAGGTTGAGAAGGGCTGAATTAGAGAATCTTCCAAGGTCATGATACAATGGTATTATAACGACTGTTTCTTCACCACACAAAAAAGTGACAGAACTATGGAAGATTGATTTCTCTCTCTTATTCCACACCTTTCGTAAGCCCCTTATTATAATCGCATTTTCCTTTTCACTGGAGAGGGTGTAATGCCGTTGAAGGAGTGCTAGAAAGATGTATTTATTGCCTATCTCAACAAATTCCCCACCAACGCTATCCAGGAGTAGCGCGTATGTAATTTTAAAAACACCATAGTACCCCTTAATCAAAATAATTACCATCCAAAGCATTTATAAATAGATTGTTCATTTTTTTCAAATGTTTCTATTTGAGGTATGTGGGAAAAAAATATCTTTTTTAACTCTGTTTTCGCCATATGTTCAAGAGCGTGACTTAGCGCGGAGCACATTTTTGGACAGAAAAAATGTTTCAATTTTTATAAAAATTTGTGGCATTGTAACTCATGCATTTGTTTATAGTATGGTGTTTTTAGAATTTCAGAACATTTCATAAATAATTAGTTTTTCTATTTAACATGTAAAGGGATGGCTCATTTAGCATTATACGTAGTATAGGAGAAAAATGCGAAACACACACATATT